GTGACAGGAGAGGGATCACTGGCTAATTCCCTGTTCTGTTCACTCCCTCTGGAGCACCTGGCATTGGCCACCGTGGGCAGACAGGACACTGGGCTAGATGGACCTTTGGTCCGACCCACTAGGGCCATTGTTATGTTCTCCAGCTTGCCTGTAGGACCAGTTCAGAAGATGTCCTGGCTCTAGGTGAGAACTACAGAACTGTCTCTGCTCCTCCGTGCACACAGTGAGTGGGAAATGGACCTTTGTGTATTGTTCTTGGGAATTCATTATGGGGGGTTTCCTTCGGAAGGACCCCTCTAGAAACAGGTAGAGTAATAAACTCTAATAATGCTTGCAGACGCTCTCACCTGTTTCATTTTACCCCACACCCAGGCATTGTCACTGCAGTGAATTCCTGGGCTGGAGAAAAGGCAGGCGTTCTTAACACTAGCATAGTCTGTTTCTTTATCCACATAGGTCCCCCTTCTGTACGTTGTATTGCTGGCCAGAATGAAAGGTATTTTTATCACAAGAGTGCGATGAAATAAATGCTCTAAATCTAATCAGAGGAATAATAAAACCCAACCAACCATGGGAGCAAAGATGTCCAAACCCCTTGTGGTAGCCAGCCCACGCCTGAAGCGTCTAAGGGAAGAAAGTCGTTGACTTTGAAGCAAGTCCTGCTATTTCTTTGCCAACTTTTGTTCCTTCCGCTAGTCTCAGAACAGCCCCCAGAGCTGGAAGGAATGGGTGGGAGCAACCTCAGGCTGGGTGGAAAGCAGCCTGAGCATTACACTCATTGGGCAGCTGCAGAGTGGCTGCTGGACTTTGCTGGCATGTGGAGCTGTGATTTGATCTGAATGCAAACACGCTTACGTGCACACACCCACACTTACTCTCACACATGCACACTCACTCACACACTTACTCACACTTACATGCACACACTCACACTTACATGCACACTCACTCACACTTACATGCACACGCACACACACACACCCACTCACTCTCACACTTACTTGCGCGCACTCACACACTTACATGCGCACACTCACTCTCGTTACATGCACACTCACACCCACTCAGTCTCACACTTACATGTGCACACTCACACACTTACTCACACTTACATGCACACTCACACCCACTCAGTCTCACACTTACATGTGCACACTCACACACTTACTCACACTTACATGCACACTCACACCCACTCACTCTCACACTTACATGCACACACTCACTCACACACTTTCACACTCACGCACACATTAGTGCAACCTGCTCTCCCTCTGCTCTCTGGGGGCCCGTTGGCGGAGCCGGACGCAGCAGCTGGCAGCGACTCTCACCCGGAGCCACCCCCACGCGCTCCCGCAAGCCGCCCC